GGGTTGTAGGGCATAGAGGAGGTATGATAGGTGGAACACAGGAGATTTATGGGGCATTGAAACATTCTGTATGATACTGTAATGGTGGATCCATGACATTATGCATCTGTCAACCCCTAGAGTTACACAAAAAGAGAAAAGCCTGGTCATGAACTTTGGTAAAGAGTAGTATAAGTTATCAGTATTGGCTCATCAGCTATGACAAATGCACCACACTAATGCAGAATGCTGTTAATAGGAGAAACCACAGCAAGGAGGCGGGGTGGTGTATTGGATCTCTTGGTGCTTTCTGCTTAAATTTTCTGTAAGCACAAAACTGCCCCAGAAAATAAGTATACAGCATAATAAATTGACTTACATAAATCATAAAATGATTGTCACAGTAAGTTTAGTGAATACCCATCATCTTATACAGGTACAGAATAAAAGAAATAGAAAAAGTATTTTCCTTCTGATGAGAACTCTTAGGACTTACTCTTTTAGCAACTTTCGTATGTGACACACAGCAGTGTTAATCAGTTTTATGATGCTGTACATTATTTTCCGTAGTACTTAACTTATCTTGTAACTGGAAGTATGCGCCTTTTGACTGCTTTCATGTAATTCCCCTTCTCCCCAAATCCCACCTACGGTAACCACAAATGATATCTTTTTCTATATTTATCTATTGAGTGAATTGGGTTTTCATGTGTCTTTTAAAGGCAAACAGCTATCTTTAGAATTATGTCTGAGTTCCTTTCTCTCTTCTGTGTGTGTATCTATTATAGATTTTTGGTTTGTGCTTACCAGGTGGCTCAGTGGTAAATAATCTGTCTGCCAATGCAGGAGATGCAGGAGACAGCGGGTTCAGTCCCTGCATCAGGAAGATCCCCTAGAGTAGGAAATGGCAACCCACTCCAGTATTCTTCCTGGAAAAACCAATGGACAGAGGAGCCTGGTAGGCTGCAGTCCATAGGTTCGCAAAGAGGCAGACAGGACTGAGCAACTGAGCATGCAGACATGCATAAATAGGATTAAGTTGCTGATTTCTTAAGTTCAGATGCTTTTTAACAACCCTGAATTTTAACTTCATTTCCCCACATTTACTGTCTTTGACATACATTTTACATCTTTTTGTTTTGTGTGTCCCTTAACTACTTATTGTGGATAAGTAGTACTTATGTGGATTTTACTCCCTTGAACTTTAAACCGTCCTACTAGCTTTATATGTGGCTAATTTACTACCTTTTGTATATATGTGCCTTTACCAATGAAATATTTCCTTTTGTAAATTTCATATTTCTAGTTATGGCCTTTTCTTTTTCACATAGAGAAGTCCTTTTAACATTTCTTATAAAGCTTTTTTGGTTATGCTGAACTCTTTTAGCTTAGGCTTGTCTATAAAGCTTTTGATCTCTCCATCAAATCTGAATAAAAGACTTGCTGGGGAGAGTATTCTTGTTTGTAGGGTTTTTTCCCCTTTTATTACTCTAGGATCAGAAGGTGGGTCTGACATAGGCTCTTTCAAATTATGATTTCTGCCCTAGGTCCTAAATTATGTAAGATTTTGTGTGTGCCTTAAGACTGGGCTCTATTTCCCATTGCCCTTTGACCCTCCCAAGAATAAACCCCACTGGCCTTCAAAGCCAAACTTCTAGGATCTTGGCTTCCCAGTGTAAGACACCCAGACTGGGGAGCTTGTAATAGGCCTCAGACCCCTCATTCCTTGGGGAGAAACTCTGTAATTGTGATTATCCTGTTTGTGGTCCCCACCCTGGAATGTGGTTCTTGACTATACCACATCTTTACCCTTCCTACCCATCTCATTGTGGATCCTTCTTTATGTCTTTAGTTGTAGAAGATCTCTGATACCCTTCTAGTCTTTCTCCTCAATAGGTGCTCTGTAATAGTTGTAATTTCAGCGTGCCCAGGGGACAAGGTGAGTTCAGGGTCTTCCTACTCTGAAATCTTGGCCACTTGTTTTCAACAAGTTGATTCAGGAACTTGTGAGTCGCTGAGCATTTGAGGATCTGTGAGCGGATCCCAGATGTTAGCCTGTAGCAAAACATCTATTAATCATTTAAAAATATAATTGATTTAAAAACTAAATTTTTGTTCCCTGGAAGTTCTTAAAGCAAATTAAACAATGTTGAACACATGGTTTTAAATATTTTTATTTATTCTTTTTTTTCAATTGTTCCTGAAATTGGGCACGTTGATAAAATATTATAATTTTTTAGACATTGAACAAGAGATTTACATTTGGCAATATGAGAGCCTATATATTCGGAAAGATTCCTACATGTAAATATGAACACTACTCTTTTAAATTTATGGAGGTCGTCCAAAAAGAGGAAGAAAAGCAAACAAATACTGTAGCTGTTGGCTACCCTGGGCCATCCTAAAGTATCCAATTGGCAAAAGCTTGAACATTAATAGACTCCTGCATTCTCCAAAAGGGAGTCAAAGCCTTCAGTCTCCAAAGGGAAGAGTTTTGATTGGAGAGCAGAATAAAGAAAGGAATGTCAAAGAGCCAACTCTAAAGAAAAGGATAAATAGGAGAAAAGGAGACACTGCTGAACAAAACAACAAATTGATCTTAGCTATAACTGTCAATACAGAGAATTTCAAAGGGGATGAAAAGGGAAAAATGTCTTTTCTATGACAATTTGTAATCAGGTTTTGGGGTCTGTTTTTACATTATCTGTACATTTTGAAAAACAGCACTTTGGTCAGGATTTAAAATTTACCCTGCTTGGTAATGTTTCAGCCATCCAGCAGAAGCAAACAAAATCCCACTAATCTTGGGTTTCAAAGGTAAATATCATATTCAAATCTGTTCTCCAAGTTTTCTCACATATAAAGTTCTGATGAATATGAACTAAAAAAAAAAAAAGCAAAGGAAAATTAAGACATCATGAGGCTGAATCAGCAGAAACAAAAATAGTAAAACTAAGCCATAAAGACTTCAAATAGCAGATATAGAATATAAAATAATTATGTCTAAAGAAATAAAAACTTGAAAGATTAAAGTGACTAAGAAGTTATGAAATGTAACCAAACAGAACACCTAGGATTGAACAACAGAATCACTGAAATGAAAATATCGATGAAAGTATAAATAGCAGGCTAGATACATCTGGAGCGAAAAAGCCTGGAAAGTAAATCTGCAACAAAAGTACACATAATATCGACAGAAAGAGACAGAAAATAAATGAAAGAAAACTTCAGAGATGTTGAGGCTGTACTAACAATGACTACATCTCATTGGGGTTCCAAAATATGATGATAAGGTAATAAACAACTTTATTGAATAAATTTGAACACAAAAGATACAAATTTCTGGGAAAATGTAACTTGGGAAGATATTGAAAGCAAGAATAGTCCCCTAATCCCTAAGAAAATCAATAGATTAATGTCTTTCTCAAAGAAAACAGAAGAGTCAAATGGTTTACAGAAGATTTCTACCCAACATTCTAGGGTCAAATAATAGAAAAAGACGGTCCAGTCATAATAAAATTCAATATAATCAGTTAAAAAGAATAGAAATTTATTGATTAACCTCTTTCATAAACATAGTGAAAAAATCCTAAACAAAGCATTAGTCAAATAAATTCAGTGTGTATAAGAATGATAATATATCATAACCAAACTTACTTTATTCCATAAATTCAATGATGGCTAAATATTTGAAATATTAATGTAACTCACAACACTATGAAATTGTAGGAGAAAAACCATCTCATTTGGTGTAGTAAGATAATTAAATTCAACATCTGTTTATAATAAAAACTCAATTCAGAGTAGAAATAGAAAGGTCTCTCCTTATTCTGAATGAAACCACAGTAAGATGCCATTCTTTGCCACCCACATGTATGGCCCATCACACCAAATGTTGGCAAGGATGAAACTAAACTGGAATTCTGATACACACTGCTTCTCACAGTGGGGATTGATCATAGTCCTTTGGAAACGATCTGGTTTTATTTAGCAGGTTGTAAGTCACAGCAGTTTTATTCCACTCTTGCATGTGTGCACCAGAAGGCTGGTATAAGAATGTTCTTATTGGCTTTTTTTTTGGTCGCTTGTGGGATCCTTGTTCCTCTAATCAGGGATCTAGCGGAGGTCCATGGTGGAGAAATCACAGAGTCCTAACCACTGGACCACCAGGAAAGTCCCATAGGGGCATTTTTTTTTTCTTAATAACAGAAAAACATAAATATTTGTCAACAGGAGAGTGGGTAAATACTATTTTATATTCATTAAATGGCCTACTAGAGAGCATAAAACTGTTGTTACATGTATCGACAGAAATGAACTAACACAATGTGTGAAAAGAGCATGTTGCAAAAGTATAAAACCATTTTTATAAAGATCCAGAATAAGCAGGTTAAACAATGAAAAGCAAAGGAGTCATAAACACCAACTCAGGGTCCTGATTACCCACAGTGAGGGGGAATTATGTTATTAGAGAGTTGCATGCAGGGGGCTTCAAAAATATTTTCCTTAAATTGGGAGGTGAGTGACCACTTGTTTGTTATGTCATACATAGATATTAATTTTTGTATTCATCAGCTATTTCATAGTAAAAAGAATGCCTGTAAAATCTAATGTGATAGGTATGTAATTTGAGGTGATACATGGAAAACTTCTTCTATTTATAATAAAGGCACATGATGGGAAGAAGAAACAAATATTAAGCAAATGGAATTGCATGCCTTATTAATATTAGCCGAACACTTTTCATCCAGGTGTACACAGAATGTTTTGGGAAAGGCAGTAATGTGCACAGTGAAGAGAGCAATGGGACTGGTGTACATCCTAATTGTGATACTGCTTAGCTGCAGGATCTTGGATTTTGTGATCCATGATCTTTTATCAAATCATTGTATTAAATGAGTTAGCACGTGGGAAGTACTGAGAAAGGACATACACACAATTAATGGTCAATCAATATTAGATTTTAGTGGTCAGTTGACTTTTAATTTATACTTTGAAATGTTCTGTTTGCATTATGGTAGGCTTTGGTCATTTGACGAAGCAGTTGATGACACTGGCTGATGGACATGTGGTGTTGGCTCTAGAAGGAGGACATGATCTCACAGCCATCTGCGATGCATCAGAAGCCTGTGTAAATGCCCTTCTAGGAAATGAGGTAAAAAACTTAAAGTACAAAAGAGCAGGGGTTAAAGGACCAGGAATGTATGCATGCATATGTTTTATCTTTCTTAACATCGTACATACTCAGAAAACACAATGTTGTTCTTAAAATTTACAGGAAAAAGGCAAGCTGTAGATAAGAAAAGTTTACATGTCCTCCTGTTCTATGCTGTAACTTTTGCCCAGTTATAGAATCCATACAGTACATCCCTCAATCAGGTTATTGGTAGAGCTCAGTAAATAAGTAAAAATAACCCATGGGAGGAAATGGTCTGTATGTTGTATTGACTCAGCTAATGAGCACTGAAACACTGAGAAAGAATTAACTCAAAGAAAAGTTCTCAATATTTTCTGTAGGATTTTGTTAGTTCAGGGAGGGAAACTTTTTAGAAATATTTTTTCAGCTTTTTAAAGTATAATTGGAATACAAAATTATAATTCATATATCTAACATATATAGTGTAATTATTTGATGATGTAATTATTTAACAATGTGCAGACATTGTTAAATGATTTTTCTCCTTGAGTTAATTATCCACATAATTATTACCCCACATAGTTACTTTTTTTGGATGAAAATACTTAAGTTCTCCTCTCTTAGAAATTTTAATTATACGATTAGCAGTTATATTCACTGTTATATACATTAGATCTTCAAGCCTTATTCATCTTATTACTAAAAGTTTAAAAACTTTTACCAAGCTTTCCCTATTCCACCCCAACCTCCAGCTTCTGGCAACCACCATTCTACCCTATGATTCCGTGAGTTCAACTATTTTATTTGCTTGGTTTTGGTTCTAGGTAAGTTTTATTTTGTTTCTTGTGTAGCTTATTTCACTTGGCATAATACCTTCTGTGTTCATCCATAATGTCACAAAAGACAGGATTTCCTTTAAGATTGCATAATCCATTGTGTGTGTGTGTGTATTGGTGTGTATGTGTATTACATTTTCTTTATCCATTCATCTGTAGGTGGGAGATGCTTGCACTGTTTCCAAACCTTGATTATTGTGAATAGTGATGCAATAAACTTGGGAGTTCAGATGTCTCTTTGAGATAATGAAATAGTGATTTCATTTCCTTTGAATATTTGCCCAGAAGTGAGATTCCTGAGTCATGTGATAGGTCTATTTTTAGTTTCTTGATGGACCTCCTACTGTTTTCCTTAGTGACTGTACTAGTTTACTTTCCTACCAAGAATGCACAAGGGTTTCCTTTTCCCAGCATCCTCACCAGCATTTCTCTCTTCTCTTTTTGATAATACACGTCATGTGAGGTGTATGTGAGGAGTATGTGAGGTGATAGCTCATTATGGTTTGATTTGCATTTTCCTGATGATTATTGATGTTGAGAACCTTTTCATGTATATATTGGCCATCTGTTTGCCTTTAGAAAATACATATTCAGGTCCTTTGCCCAATTTGAATTGTGGCATTTGGTTTTGTGTGTTTTGCTAGTGAGTTGTATGAATCCCTTGTATGTTTTGGGTACTAATTGCTTATTGGGTATGTGATTTGTAAATATTTATTCCCATTCCATGAGTTGCCTTTTCATTTTATTGATGATTATCTTTATTGTGCAGAAGCTTTTTAGTTTCATGTAGTCCCACCTGTTTTTACTTTTGTTTTCACTTTCATTCGCAATCCAAATAACCATTGCCAATAGCAGTGTCAAGGAGCTCACCCCCTGTGTTTTATTCCAAGAGTTTTATGATTCCAAGTCTTGCTTTTAAATATTTAATCAATTTTGAATTGATTTTTATGTTTAAGTTAGGGATGCAGTTTCATTCTTTTACATATGGCTGTCTAGTTTGACCAGTACCATTTATTGAAGAGATTCCTCTCCATTGAGTATTCCTGGTTCCTTTGCTGAAGATTAATTGTGTATGCATGAGTTTATTTCTGGGATCTCTCTTCTGTCTGTTAACTTGTATGTCTGATTTTAATGCCAACACCATAACTTGTAATATAACTTGTGTTGATTGCTTGTAATATAACTTGAAATTAGGAAGTGTGGTAACTGACATTATTCTTCTGTCTCAAGATTGCATTGGCTATTTGGCATTCTTTAGTGGTTTCATTTCAATTTTAGGATTTATTTTTTCTGTTGCTGTGAAAAATGCCCTTTGATAGATATTACATTGAATCTATAGCTCACTTGGATGTTATGGACATTTTTAATTATATTAATCTTTCTGATCCATGAACCTAGGATATCTTCCCATTTATTTATGTCTTCAGTTTCTTTTATCAGTGTCTTAAAAATTTTTGTGTATAGGTCTCTCACTTCTTTGGATACATTTATTGCTAAGTATATTGTTTTGGGGGAGAAGGCAATGGCACCGTACTCCAGTACTCTTGCCTGGAAAGTCCCATGGACAGAGGAGCCTGGTAGGCTGCAGTCCATGGGGTCGCTAAGAATCAGACATGACTGAACGACTTCACTTTCACTTTTCACTTTCATGCATTGGAGAAGGAAATGGCAACCCACTCCAGTGTTCTTGCCTGGAGAATCCCAGGGACAGGGGAGCCTGGTGGGCTGCTGTCTATAGGGTCGCACAGAGCCGGACACGACTGAAGTGACTTAGCAGCAGCAGCAGCAAATTATTTTTTATGCTATTGTATGTGGGATTTTGTTGTTTTTTTCAGATAGTTAATTGTTAGTATGTAGCATCATGACTGATTTTTCTATGTTGATTTTGTATCCTACAACTTTGTTGAATTCATTTAACAGTCTTTTTGGTGGCATATATAGGGTTTCCTATATATATCATGTCATATGCAAATAGTAACAGTTCTTTTCTGACTTGGATGCTTCATTCTTTTTCTTGTCTAATTGCTTTAGACAGTACTCATAATACTATGTTGAATGACATTTTGGCAATATTGGGCATCCTAGTCTTGTTTCTGATCTAAGAGGAAACATTTTCAGCTTTTCAACATTGAGTGCGATGTTAGCTGTGAGTTTCTCATGCAAGTGAAAGTGTTAGTCACTCAATGGTGTCTGATTCTTTGTGAGTCCATGAACTATAGCCTGCTAGGCTCCTCTGTCCATAAAATTCTTCAAGCAAGAATACTGGAGTGGGTTGCCATGCCCTTCTCCAGGGGATCTTCCCAAACCCAGGCCTCTCGCATCATGGGCACATTCTTTACCATTTGCGCTACCCAGGAAGCCCATATGTTCCCATATATGGGACTTAATTATGTTAAGGTGCTTTCCTTCTCAGAGTTAAAGAATCTGCCTGCAATGCAAGAGATGTGGGTTCGATCCGTGGGTCAGGAAGATCCCCTGGAGAAGAAAATGACAACACACTCCAGTATTCTTGCCTGGGAAGCTCCATAGACAGAGGAGCCTGGCAGGCTATAGTCCATGGGGTCACATAAAGAGTCGGACATGACTTAGTGACCAAACAACAACAAACCTTCTATCCCATATTTATTGAAAGTTTTTTTCATGAGAGGATATTGAATTTTGTCATATTATCTGCATCTGTTAAGATGATTGTGTAATCTTTATCCCTCATTTTGTTGATGTGGCTTATTGCATTTTTTCATTTGCAGATGTTGAACTGCCTTTGCATCTGTGGAATATATCCCACGTAATTGTGGCATAACTTCTTTTAATGTACTGTTGAATTCAGTTTGCTTATATTTTTTGAGGAGTTTGCATTTTGAACCTTGATGTTCATCAAGGATATTGGCCTGTAATTTCTTTTCTTTAGTGTTTTTTACTGATTTTGGTATTAGGGAAAGTCAGTTTGGTTCAGTCGCTCAGTCGTGTCTGACACTTTAAGACCCTATGATCTACAGCACGCCAGGCTTCCCTGTACATTACCAACTCCTGGAGATTGCTCAGACTCATGTCCATTGAGTGAGGGATGCCATCCAACCATTTCATCCTACGTCGTCCCCTTCTCCTCCTGCCTTCAATCTTTTCCAGCATCAGGGTCTTTTCCAATGCATCAGTTCTTTGCATCAGGTGGCCAAAGTATTGAAGTTTCAGCTTCAGCATCAGTCCTTTGAGTGAATTCATTGTAACTCATTGGATTCCTTCCAATGAATATTCAGGACTGATTTCTTTTAGGATTGACTGGTTTGATCTCCTTGTAGTCCAAGGGACTTTCAAGAGTCTTCTCCAACACCACAGTTCAGGAAAATGCTGACCTCCAAAAATGAGTTTGGACAGTTTCCCTCTTCTTCAATTTTTTGGATGAATTTGAGAAAGATTGGTATTACTTCCTCTCTGATATAGTTCACCAGTGAAGCCATCTGATTCTGAACTTTTCTTTGTTGGGAGGTTTTGATTATAGATTCAGTCTCCTTACTGGTAATTTGTTAAGATTTTTCTGTATCTTCATTATCTTGATGTGTTTTTTGTTTCTAGAAAGTTATGTTTTTTCTAAGCAATTTAACTTCTTGGAATATAATTATTTATAGTAGTATCTTATGTTCTTTTGTACTTGTACATTTTGAGTTGTAATGTCTCCTTATTCCTTTCTGATTTTTTTAAATTGAGGCTTTTCTCTTTTTTACTTAGTCTAGTTAAAAGTTTATCAATTTTGTTTATCTTTTCATAAATCCAGCTTAGTTTTATTGATTTCTTCTATTGTCTTTTTAATCTCTATTATATTTATTTCCACTTTGATCTTTTTTATTTCCTTCTTTCTACCAGTTGGGCCTTAGTTCTTCTTTACTTGTTAGTTTTTTGAGGTTAAATTTAGGTTGTTTAGTTGAGACCATTCTTTTTTCTTAATGTAAGCATTTATCACCATAAACTTCTCTCTTAGAACTGCTTTTGCTGCGTGCCATAAGTTTTGGTATTTTGTGTTACCATTCTCATTTATCTCAAGATACTTTTTTCTAAATTTCTTTTGATTTATTCTTTGATGTATTGATTATCCAGCAGCATGTTGTTAAATCACCATGTATTTTAGAATTTTACACTGTTTTCTTATAATGATTTCTAGTTTTTGCCTGCTCCCTCTGCACTGATCCC